CCGTAATATTAATTATGCATTATTATTACTGATCGGAAGCGGCCTCCACCTAGGCATTCTGATCACTTGACCTCACTGAAGAATTAGCTTTCTAATAATTCCGAACCCTCTATCGGAATAATACACTTGTTAGAAGGACACCATTCCTTTCACATGAGGTGATCTTCAGGGTTGGCGGTACCATCATAAGTACCCACCATAACATTTTTAACCTTGGCAAGCTGTGTCGCCTCGGTTATTTCCCTAGAGAACGCAGAAGGTTGTTCCCCAAGTTTTAGCAGACGAAGCTGTCAGTCCAAAGGTTGGACATTTTGTGTCGCCTGACCCCCAAAGAGGGCCGGTTGCATGTAAGGTTGTCCATTCGTCATGTATGGCTGTTGAGGCACATACGGGACCGAATGGATCATCTGAGGGCCAGTGTGAACGGACGGGCCGCCTGACTGACTCTCTCATGTAGATTGAGAATATCTCATTGAGGTATTCTGGAAACTGTTGTTGGTTCCTTTTATGCTCGATTAGGAACCGGGCATCAGAGTATGACTTCTTTGAGCCATCCGGTTGGACATGCCTGATGACCTTCCTCTTCCCTGTCTCAGGGAATCGGATTTTAGTAAGATCGATCAAGGGCCGCTTCCCCTCCTTTGATTTAGGATGCGGAGTGGGCTCTCGATCCCTGACCGACTTGTTCTTCTCAAAGAGGGAAGGTTTTTTGGCCGACTGACCCCTTTTGGGGCCACCCGTCTTCTGGTTAATCAAGTCCTTCATCTCCCCCTTGAAACTTGTCATGAATTCATGAGTTCGTCTCGAGTGACTGGGGTTGTCTTCTGCCGCATGGTGTTGTCCAGACGGCTGTCCGGATGATGTACTAGGACCAGCTTGTTCATCGCCCCGTTCCCTTCTTTCTATGGGACGGGTGCGTCTGGTTCCGAGTGACCCATCAGCGACCACATATGTTTCGACGTCAAAGTCATCATTAGTGCTATGGTCCGAATAGACCTCAAATTCGGCCGTAAGCCGTTTGTTATTAGGAGGCGGTACAGGTTCTTGTGAAGCCATCTTAGAGGTACTCTCCCCACAGATGGCGCCAAATGTTTCGGGGTTTTCTGTGTCCCTCGAGAGAGTTACAACACCAAGATTGGATTTCGGGCGCCTGTACCTGCAACAACGGAGACTCCGGTTGGGTGGAGTTCCGCCTCCGACGATCAAGTTAGAACGTGTTCGGAAGATGTAAAAAGTGCGGAAAGCAAAGTAGTATCTTCTCAGATTTCGAGATCGGGAATATTCTCTAAGGTGTGAATTAATTATCTGCAATCACTGACTGCTCTGGTTTTTTCGTGTTGTATGAATGTGTGTTCCCTAGGTAGGAGCATCTCCCTTTTATAGGGTCTTGGGATTCGTGCCACTTTCCTAAGTTACGGAAACCTAGGAAAGATGGGCTGTCATGGGAATTGGGCTCGAAGGCAGTCTTTTCCCCTGTTGACTGGGAGTGCCACGTGCCAACCGGGGATTGGTTCATTTAGAACCTCTCCTAGGGTGACACGTGTCACCTTCTGATTGGGCCACGTGGCCTGGGTATTTTTACCCAATACAATAACAATAATAATATCAACAATAATATTAATACATATAATAATAACAATAATAAATAATAATAATACAAATAATAATAACAATAACAATAATAATAACAACAATAGTAACAATAATAATAGTGACAATAACAAAATTGTATCAATAAGTATAACAATAATTATAACTAATAATAACAATAATTATAATTAATAACAACAGCAACAACAACAGCAACAACAACAACAACAATAATAATAAATTAATAATAACAACAACAAAGATGAGTTAGATCTTACAACGACGCTTCGATTGCTTTCCACTAATTAATTTCCCGAACTTATAATTTTTTTTTATTAATTTTTATAATTGAGAGAATTAAAGATTATATGAGGTTTTTTTTTTTTTTTTTTTGAGAAGTAGAGATTATAAGAGAGTAGGAATTAAAGAATAAGAGAATTAGAGAATAAGAGATTTGAGAATAGATGAGTTGATGAATTGTGGAAAAAATGGATGAAGAAGTGATGTATTTATAGGAAAATTGATGAATTAGCCGTTGGAATTATAGCCGTTAATGGCTGTTGGAAACTAGCCATTTATGGCCGTTGGAAACTAGCCGTTTGCATGGGCCGTTCCTGGCGGGCCGCGTGCCATGCTGGGCCGTGCCTGGCCGTGCTTGCGGGTCGTGCTCACCGGCCGGCCTGCAAGCCAAACAACCGTGTCGTGCTTGTGCCGATTTACGAAAATTTTGTTCACGGCACGGCATAGTGGCCCTGTGCCGTGCCGTGCCTATGGCGGGCTTGTGTCGGGCCGTGTCACCACCGTGCCGTGCTCGTGCCGCCCGTGGACCAGCATGGCCCATGTCCACCTCTAAAAGAGATGATGATCTAGACAATTGGAGTAAATGGACGAACAGGCTGGCCCTTTAAGTGAGTGAGTATTGAAAACAATTTTTATTTTTTTTATTTATTTTTTTTAACTTAAGGCTTGGACTCCGCAAATATGGGCCCTCCAAATTTGGGGGCCCTGTGTTAAGGGCCTGTTTGCACAGGTCCTTAGCCGACCCTGAAAACTACGTCGGTGTAAAAATACCTTAAGCGTATAAAGTACCGCAAATCCTATCCCTCGGTGTATAAACACCTTAAGTGCACTTAGGCACCGCGATATATTTTATCCCTGTGTACTAAGGCACTTAAATAGATCCATTCCCATGCTTAAAACAGATAAAAATTATATAAACCATAATAAAATTCCCTTTCAATATTCTAAACTCAATTAAACATTTAGTTTAATTAAACATGCTCTTAATCATGCTAATAATAAAAGTGTGGTTCATATTCAACATTCCAAACATCACCAATTCCAACCATAATTCATTTCAAATAATCATGCCTCATAATCCAATCATCAAATCTAATTCAATTCCATGCAACCAATCTAATCCAACAATTCCAACCAATTCCTAGAATGAAACTAACTATGAATTAATCAAAATAAATCCTATCATGAATCTATACGCTTAATAAATATCGAGTACATATTACGTACCTTGAATACGATCTCAAAATCGCCACGGGTAAACAAAATCGCTCTCTTGGAAGTCTCCTACAACCCTAATTACCAAGAGTCATTAATACTTATTCTTAATGAATTTCCAGCAATATAAAAACACTTTAAACACTTTTGAACCCCTTAAAACATGCTGAAAATTATTTATAATCACTTGGGTTTACTCCCAATTAACGGGTAGTTATAATAAAACTACAAGAAACTCAACTCAAGGCCTTCATAAATTCCAGCATTAAAACTTGCTGAAAATTACTTTTTAAACATTAATTCAATAATATAAACCAACCACAGTCAAACACTATCAATAATCATCAATTTAAAAACCTAGCGTTTCATTAATTTGGGGCTTTTTCATATAAAACATTATTTGAAAATTACTTATATAAAACAACATTAAAATCATCACACAACATCCAAAATATATAATTAATCATAACTTAATTAATTTAAAACAAGAACTTAAAAAAAAAACACACACACACACATAAACGCTCAAGAGGAAGGGGGAGAGGGACGGCTACTGCTGCTCCCCCGCGACTGTTGTTGTTGCCGGCCTTGTGATTGTGGCGGTGGCTGGCTGTGGTGGGTGGTGGTGGTGCTGGCCACTGGTGGTGCGTGTGGTGTGAGAGTGTGTAAGGGAGAGGGGAAATAAAGAGAAAGAAATAAGAGGAGAGAGAGAGTATTACCTTTGGGTATTTTTCCACCTTGAGGCAAAAACTAATTTTTGCTCTTGAGGTGGGTATTTATACCACTCTCTAAAACCCTCTTACTCTTGTCTTTCATTATTTACCCTTAATAAGACCTTTTCCCTTTCAAAGTAGTCTTTGTCATTGTTTTAAATCCTTTTGACTTTATAATTCTTTTGCAAATCAAATACTTGCCCCAAAGTTTAAATATAGAAATAAACAATTTCCAAAACCATATAAATAAATTAATTGATGGGTTTTTATTTATTTAACCTTTAAAATATTAAACATAGAAATGAATAATTCCTTTCTAATTAATAAAATACGTTTATAAAATAATAAATTAATTTATAAAGTATATAAAAATACGGGGTATTACAAAGAGATTTCTGGGTTTTTAAGGAAGGTTACGAGTTTGGGAAATTGGCTGAGGTTTTTGGGTTGTTGTTGCAGAAGAAGAAGAAATAAATTCTAAAAGTAGGGGAGGGTCGTGAGTTTGGGGGGAATTATAACCCAAGAAATCTTTTACTACGGTAATAATATTGCTAACCTCTTTTTTTATTTTTTTATTTTTTTTATTTTTTTTTATTTTTAATCTGAAAAGGAAAAAAATAAAAATAAAAATAAATTGCTAACCATAGTTAGTAGTCAATCAAGAGTGTTTAACATTAACTTAACAAAGGGTTAAAATTGGATTTTTTTTTTATTTTTTTATTTTTTTTGATGAGATAAAGCTGATTAAGTTAATTAAACTTATAGGCACCATGTAGAAGTTTGGATTTAGGAGGGCACAACATAAAAACGCAATAACTCAGGAGTACTATGTAGAAAAACCCATTTATCATTTATTGCTAATAAGATTTCCTTTTTGTATTCTTTTTATCCAGCGCCCCCAGGGGCGCTCATGAGCATTTGCCTATTTGATTTTGCTACTTTGTTATGATAGATTGGAACACGAACTACATGGTACTCTAGGAGTACCTATTATTAATTGTGTCATAAGTTCGACCTTCATCAATTACATTTGCTTAAAGGTGTTGCTTTAATAAACTCCTTCATTTTACCTTACTAGGACAACTAATGCGCGCGCCATAGCTAGCCATATCCTAAATTCTTTTAGTTTTGCCTAACAATACAAATTTAGTTGTTAGCAACATAAATGAGTGAAAATATGTAAACAAATATATTTAGGGGTATAAATGCCTGGGCACTATTTTTCAAAGTTCACAAAAATAATTTTCATTAATTAGGGTAAATAAGAAATAAACATTTAAAAGGATATAATTGTACAAACACTATTCATTTAAAAAACTTGTACTTATTAATAATGGTATGCAAGAAAATACACATTTCGAAAGGTATAATTGGCAACACACTATTCATAACTGTATTATTAGACTTTTTATAAGGCAGGGAAAATGAAAAAAAAAAACAAAAACCGGGTGAACTTACCACGCTACCCTTGTGCTGGGATATAGAGCACAGCAGCGTGCTGAGCTGAGCCAATCTCCATCATAGCGCAGTTGAATTTTCATCCATCCTTGAGTGTATACTATACTGTATAGCAGTAACCACCTAAATTTCAATTTCAATTCCAATTTCAATTTGAGTAGTGAGTACCTAAAAATCAAGCATTCAACAATGGCGAATCAACTCTACGGCCACCAAAAACAATCCTCCAGCATCTACAATTCCTCTTCAAGATCCGCCATTGATGCATACCATCCAGAACAACAACAACAACCATCTTCCCTTCGAACCTCTTCTCGCTACCTCTTCGACCCTCACTCTCTCTCCTCTGACCCTCCTTCCTCCTTCTATCGAACTACTCCTTCCGATTCTCATTCTCTTCGCTACTCCTCCTCTGACCGTCACTCTCTCTCCTCCATTGACAACCTTGGACTCACCTCTGCTGCTTCCAGAATGTACGTTCCTGCTGCTGCTGCCACCTCTTTATGGCCTTCTTTCGACGCTTCTTCTACTCTCAGTAAGCGCCCTTCTGAAGGTTAGCAATCATATCCTGTTAAGATCTTGTCTTCAATTTTGAGCATTGTTTAGGGCTTTACAATTGCGGATTTTAATTGAAATTATTGGACAATATTTAGCTTTGTTCTTCGGAATGCTAACATAGTTCACCTCAAAAATTTACTTGTATTAATGTTATTGTGTTTGTGAAACTATTGCTTAGGTTGAAAGCTTGAAATGATGAATGCCCTTTTTTCAATACCTCTTGCCAATTCGCTGTAAATTTAGTCTTGAAGTAGCTGGAATGCCCCTTTTTAATGTGTATGTGTATATGTAATTACTGGGATTGATGTTGAACATTTTATATATGGAGTAATTCATAGGTTTGACTATCTAATTGCTTATTAGAGCTTTGATGGTGATTTAACTATGTTGAGAACGGTGTTGAGTAGAAGGTTTAGTTCGGGTTTTCGCTGCTTTTATCTCTTTGGTACAATTGGTATAATGTATTTTTGAGTAAATGGTTCTCATTTATTCCCCCCGTCTCAAGTTACTTGCTCTAGCTGACTTTACATGGTCTCCTAAATACATTGAACATGAATACTTTTGATTATGTAACAATATAAAGTATAAATTGTCATAATTTGAAAATAAACGCTGAAATAACTTAGATCGTAAAAGGTCATATGGATTAAATGATTTAGTATGAACATTCTCTTTGGCCTTTGGGAGTTGTGTTTTTCTTGCTGGTTAGTGTGGTCACTAGTTCTTTCTATGAACCTTTTAGGTGTGGAATGATATGTTATGTAAAGGATTGCAGTTTCTTTCTATGGGTTCATCAAGGTTTTCCTTCACTTAGATTGGAAAGATTTACTTTATATGTTTGAAATCTGAACCTTAATGCTAAGATTTGAAGTTTTTGAACCACGTTTCAAGTGGAAAAAAACAAAAATGGTTGCCTGATCTCTAAATCATATGGACCCAAAACCAAGTTCCATAACAAACTGATTAAACTAATAACCACTTAGAATGTTTGTTGCAAAAGAATAAGAATGAGCGTCTTATTTCCCGTAAACAGTTATCAATCCTGACGTGGAGTCTAGCAGCAATAATGAGGCTTATGTAGATGTCTAACAAATTATGATAGCAACTACTTAAGAAAATAGACTGTGTCTTATTCCTACTTCCTGTAAGAAGTCTAAGAACAAAAGCAATTTATGCTAAGTTGGTATTTTACATCCGTGGTTTGTGGTGTTATAAAACCTTCCATCTATGAGTTATATATGGGACTGTAATAGATTGGATGAGTGGAAAGTTGCTGTCTCCTCTTTGGCTCACATCAGATTTATGGCTGAATAACTCCAGGTGTTAGGTTATGTTAAATGGGCTAAGGTACCTATTCATTATACAGGTATGCACTCTGGTCAAAACCCAATTTGAAGAATGCCGCAACAATGTCTTTTTGGGGGGATAACTACATGAAATGATAATTTAATTATGTAGTTAGAATTGGAGAACAAAATTTTGTATGAAAAATTATAAAAAGAGGATTGAGCCTTGGCTATGTTTCTGCCAATTGTCATTTTCTCTTTGCAACATTTATAGATGTTTATATTCAAGGTGAGATATTACAGTGTTTGTTGCTTGCAGATAATATTGTGTTTTAGACTTCTAGGCTTAGTGATAAATTAGAGAGATGGAGGTATACGTTAGAATCTTGAGGCTTTATTCTTATTTAATGTGAAACTAATTACATGGAGTGCCAATTTAATGTCTAGAGGGAGTCAAATGAAGATGTATACAGTGCAATTGTAAGGAATTCCCATCAGTTAGCTCTATAAGTACTTGATTTGGTTCTACACAAGAATAGAGATATTTACCAATATATCAATCACGATAAGTGTGGGTGGCTCAAATCAAGAGTTGCAAGTGGAATATGGTGTGACCGTAGCTCAGCTTTATGATTTTAGGAAAAATCTTTTGGATGACTATTAGTCTAGCATGGGACCATGGGTTGAATGTTGAGTGAAGCACATACATATGTCAGAGATGGATGTACGGGATATAAATCTTAATGTAGATATTCAGTGTAAGGTTTAAGATGTGGATAGGTGGAGTAAGTATGAAAGCACTTATGGAATTCATAGAAGTGAATGGAAGAAGATGATCTTTGTTGGCAACCACCAGAGATAGAATCTTTGGTAGATGTGTTAGCAGATCTCACGCTGAAGATGCTTGAAGGGATTTAAAGGAGGGGAAAAAGGGGCTAACAGATCTTAATGTTGAAGATGCTTGGTGGGAATTAATGAAAATGCAGATATTGTCTCCCTGTTGTATCATTGCTTGATTAAATATGGTATAATCTGATGACATTGGTGAACCAGGTGCTTATTCCATGTCATTGTAGGTGTTGTGTTGTATTGCCACAAAAATGGCAGAAAGTTTGATGTGGGTGTGACATTGCTTATATGTTTTTCCTCAAGCTATTATTAGGCAGATTGACTATATATTAATGCCTCTCTTAGATATGAGTTGGGAAGAAGTCTAAAAATTACTTAGTGAGTTTGCAAAAGTTTCTAGGCTTATGGCGGATGGTGGTTAGGTCCTCTGTTACATGGACTCGGCATTTTCCCCCTCCATATCTGTGTCGACACGACACGACCCTTCACGGGTATGAAATCCGGGTCGGAACCGGCTGTTTACACTCGGACACGGCATTGAAGAAAAAAGAGAAAATTAAGTTCAAGTTCTGCAACTTTCAATGGCTTCTTCCCGACATTTCTATTTTTTTTTCTCTCTTTTTTTTCATGTGCATCTGATAAAATTATCTTAGTTTTTTCTCTCTCCTCTCTCTTGTTCACATAGCAGTAAGTCACTTTAAAACGTTTTTTTTTTAATTTTATATTTTATATGCCTCGTACTCGTACCCGTAACCGGTTCGAAATCCGGACAGAGTCCCCGTGTCCTAATATATAGGTAATGCCATACCGGACACTCGGATCCGTACCCATACCCGACTCTCCTATCCATGTAACATAGGTTAGGTCTTTAAATTGTAATGCTAATATATATTTGTTTTGATGGGAGGTGTGACATGAAAACAAAGATAATCTTTAATAAAGTTGGTTTAATACTATTGCAAATGGTAATGTCACATGTTTGAGTTCTTGTAAATTTGTCCACTGATGAATGTTTTAGCTTGACCTTGCAGTCTTTCAATGAAATTGTTTTTCTTTATTTATTTTTTAACTATCTTGAGCTGTCTCTTAAGATTGCATCTGGAGTTTCTTGTTATGTTTTCTGTTGATGTCCCTTACAATATGTAGTGCTACAGATGAAAGTGTGTTGAAAGTTTTCAAAGGATGATTTCCACCTTAGATTAGAGCTTTTGCAGATAATTTCTAGCTAGAGTTAGAGCTTTTTTATGGTTAAATTTCTCCCCACTTAGCTACAATAAGGGTTGTAAGGACTACTGTAAGGAATAATCCTTTATGATATAGATTATGTTTCACGAGGAGATCATTGAAAACCACTCTTTTTACATTCATTTTGTCATCGTTGTGTAAGACACAAAGGCATGCTCGATTTGTCTCAAACCTATACTTCGTAATGTGCGAGTTGTAGGTTGGAGGAAATACATCTCATTCATTTGGATATAATTGAATAGCAGGATTTTAAAAATCATTCTACCCTTATAATTTATACTTTGAATTTTGAAATGGTGCCAAACTAGACTTTCTATGATAATTGCACTAAACGTCTTTCATGGGGTTACTTTGACTATAGAGATGCTGAATATCTATTGGGTGGTGTCAATGGTTATTCTATTTGTGAGGATTCTGGTCCTTTGGCATGTATATTGGTTCCTTGCCATTTCTTTATATTCCCTTTGTCCTCAAATTATTGTCCTCTTAGCATTGGGCATGCATATTAAGATGGATGGTTCCACATTGCGTGAGGTATAAAGGAAGAGAGTGAGATAGTGTTGGGGCCCTTATCATGGGTTGCATGAATTAAGTGAGATGGATCTTCCATTTAAGGTAAGATGCTAAATGTTTGAAGACCGAACAAAATTCTATGTAGGACAATTATTAGAGAATAGGAGTATATAATATAATAATAAATGAAATATTCTTACTCTGACATAGCGGACAATCTCTCTTTCTCCATCTCTCCTATATTCTGTAATATATGCCTTTTTCTTGTATATATTTAAAATTTTCTTATAATACAATTCTATCTTTTTTTCTATCTTATTAGTTCTTACTTTAAAGCTATTTGAAGTTATATAGTAACACACATATTTGTGGTTTTCTTGTTTATACTCATATTATCTACTAAAGCTCTCTACGATCATCCTGTTCTGGGTGCCCATATGATTGGGCAAAATGAGGCTTGGTTTGCTTCTGATTCTTTGGCCAAGCGCCCTAGATTGGAGAGTGCAAGCAATTTACCAATTTATCCACAAAGACCTGGAGAAAAGGACTGCTCGCACTATATGCTTACTAGAATCTGTAAGTTTGGAGATAATTGCAAGTTTGATCACCCTATCTGGGTTCCTGCAGGTGGAATCCCTGATTGGAAAGAGGTGAATCTTTGATACTTATCAAGTATATTATTTTTACTGTTTATTATAATTTAATACGCTTATTATATTTATATTTATATAATATGTATTAGCATTGTATTATCAGCCTGGCTAAATAATTTTAGAAATAAAATAAGAGGGTGGTAACTTTATGCTTATTATTCAGAACTTTTCAACTATAATTTGTGTAGCTATCTCCTTTTCTCCCAACATTTAGAATTGTGTCAGCCCGTCAAAGACTGGATACATTACATTCTGTTTGCTAAATTATATATTTTGTAACTATAACACAGTACTATACTTTCCTTTTTTTTTTTTTTTTGTTTCTCTAGTGAGCTTATCCCTCTCGATTCAAGCTGTGCTTAGCTGGTTGCAAAATGTTACTTTTGTTACCCAACACTACTTTGGAGCATTGATAAAAATTCGGAGTTCTAGCAATATGATTTTCTCTTACATCTCACAATTATTCCTTTCATTCTCTAAAGTACGAGTATCAATTAGTGGAGGGGCATATTTAAGAACACTATTACTTTCTTTCCTTGAAAAATTGAAATACAACTATCAATTGCGTACTCTAATAAAAAACAAAGGAAATATTATTTCTTTAAAAAGCATATGAAAAAGCTATATGCAAACCTATTTGTGATGCTATAATTTCAAATTATATCATTATAGTTGGTTAATCCATTTTTCTCCGTAAAACCTTTTGTCTGACTGGATGGGAAATTCTTATGTTGCTTAATCTAGAAGTTTTGAGTTGGAGGGCATGAATTCCTGCCAAGCTATGTTTCTATGCTTAGATTGCTGGGTCACATGGCATGTGTTCCTATCTAATTGCTTTAAAGATGGAGTTTTAACCTCACACTGCTGATGCAATGACAATGCTATCCATTTACAATGAGGAAAAAAATGTATCTGACACTGTCTAATATGTTTGACAAAATCCTTGTTCTCTCCCTCACACACACACACACACACACATATGCACACATTTTACCACAGTTACATCTTAATATGCCTATTTCTTCAAGTTATTAGCGCACCTAAACAGGGTGCATCACATTGCTTCAGAGGTTGCCATCTTATTTGGAGGGGGTTGGGGGGAGGGACCGGGGGACTAAGGGTTATGCATTGTTAGCCAGTTTAGGGTTTCTAAGTTTCTGGACAGCGTGACCTCTTTGTTTGTATTTGTTTGTTGCATATGATTGGTTTTCTAATGTGCATCATGGCATATGCAAATATAAGTACTATAACAATGAATATATCTTGAAATCATGATTAGAACACAGACAACATGGATACATTGGGTTGAGTTTTCAAGGCATTGCTGTATTAGATGATAACATCATAGATATTGCTATACATTACTGTTGCAGATTTTCAGTGAAATGATGCAATCATATTCTGATTATCTCGTGGTACCAGAGAACCACTGTAATTAAAAAGAGGAGGTGGAATTATGGCCTTCATTAATGATAGTATAAGTAGTATTGGCTTTTCAGTATGATGGTGCAATCAGCCTATCAGCTTCTGCTTCAAGGATGGACATGACTAAAAATGCGATAAATATAAAGGTGGATTATGACATTCACTAATATTTATGTAGGTTAGCTATTTTGGGATAGTTGAAGTATGATCAGAGGAGACATCATGATTATTTTAAGGATGAGGTCTAAAAGGATCATTTATTACTTTTGTGGTTGATTTGTTGTCAAAGTAATACAAAGGAGGTCATTGAATAACTCCATGCGTCACTTTCATTGAGCAATCTTTATAATATGTCATAGGTTACTAAGCAATGATAAGTTAAGCACGCTTAGGGTTTTGGCTCCTACACATATTTAGGTTACACATTGTGTTTCAACATCGAGAATTTTGCTCATTGTTCATTTGAGAATATAGTTGTGTGACACATATTACAAATATGAACCTAAAAAGTCGTTTTGAGGTATCGGTGGAAGTCCTTCTTTTGGACCGTACCCCTTATGTTGGCAAAAAATTCTGTAGTTCTTGAGTTTAGACCCTCCACACTCTGCACTTGTGTTTTTGCTTCATGTTCCCCTAGGTTGCAGCTGTTTCCTGCTGAGTGTTTTACTTGTTCGATATGCTCCACTATTATTGTTCAGAAGAGCTTAAACTATGGTTTTATTTTCTGAAAAAATGTCTTGCTAATTCCAATTTATTGGGAGCGCATCGATGATCTATGCACATCTAGATCTCCGAAAATGTTTTTGTTGTTTTTTCTAAGCTGCATTTAGTATGAAATTACCTTTAAATACACAGAGTATCATATCACTAGTCCCATTTCTAATATGATGTATTTTTCTTTGAAAACATCTGTAAATGGCAGTTTGAAACTTCGAACCTTTGACAGTAAACCTAACTGTCAATTAATTCCTGCCCATCTATTTTTTTTTTCTCTTTTTTTTAATTGCTAAAATCTATTTTTTCATTATGGGTGCTCTTGGTTAAGTGCCAGTTGTATGTGCGAGGGAGGGAGGAGGGGGAGAACCTAATGTGGACATGCACAATCTTCTTTCTTACCTATTCATGACCCTCACTTTTTGAATTCCTGATTTATAAACAAAATATTTTCTTACTGTATGAAATTTGGGTGATTGGATTCTGGAATTAAACTTTTGTGATCTATGTCAATTGCTTGATGCAGTCTGCCTCAGTTCCTTCTTCTGATTCCCATCCTGAAAGACCTGGAGAACCAGACTGTCCGGTATGTATAAATGTACATTTTCTCTTTAAAATGCCTTTGTGACTTAATTTATGTGCTTCCTTACTCTTGCTTTATTTTCAGTACTTCCTAAAGACTCAAAAATGCAAGTTTGGTCAGATGTGCAAATTTAATCATCCGAAGGATAAACTGGTAGGAGAATAGGCTTACATTGTTTAATTTTGTCAGACTATTACTGTTGGTGCCTAATAGTTAGATTTTTTTTCCCCCAGGATTCATCTAGCTGTAAAACCGACGATCCAGATTTACCTGATAGACCATCTGAGCCTGTTTGTTCGGTGTGTTGCTCAACCATTTTCTGGCCATGACTGTTCTTCTAGTTTTTCTCTTTTATTCTCAATTTTTTTTTTATCTTCTACATAATATGGTGATTTTACATATGTGCTTATGTGAGCAGTTCTACATGAAAACGGGAAAATGTAAATTTGGTACATCATGCAAATTTCATCATCCTAAAGATATTAAAGTCCAATCAGATAAACAAGAAGCTGGTGATGGAGTGCAGACTCATTCGATAGATCAGCATGGTAGTGATGGTACTGCTGGTGATGGAAATATAATCAAACCCACCTCGAATGCTGCATTATCATATAACTCGAAAGGACTGCCCATGCGTCCGGTTAGTCCAAAATGAAAAACTTTGATCTCATTTAAAGATTAGACTATTTATATGTTCATTTGTTTACATTCCAGAAGTATGTTATTAGTCTATTCTTACCATCTGCCTCTAATCAAATTGGGGTTGTAGAGATAAAACAACTTTTAGTCCCTTATGGTATTTGGAGAAAGAGTTTTTAATCGTCCATAAACAAAATTATTTGTCTGCACTCCTTTAGTTCCATGCATAAATTCTTATGTTAACTATCTGAATAACCTTTTGATTTAGCTGGAATAATTCATTCAGTTTATTTATTAAACCAAAGTTCACAGCCCTCCTGAGTAACAATAAGCTGACTAGTCTTTGTCAATAAATGCTATATTATGGGGTATATGAATTTAATTATAATTGTAGAACACCTACATGCTGTTAAATTCAACAAGTATTCTCATTTTCATCATGAGCTGGATCAGGAATTACATGAAGTGATTGTTAGGTGATGAGTGATTTATCAGTAGTTCATGTATGTCCCATATTTTCTTCCTAAAAAAAAGTGAAAGATAGAAATTCTATACTTGGCTTTGTGCCTGTTGACAATGTAATTGGCCCTGGTCTTCTCGTAATATTTCAGTCAGAACTGATGCTTTATAGCCTACTTGTGACAGGATGAAGTCAATTGCCCATTCTACATGAAAACTGGCAGGTGAACATGACAGTGCTGATCTAGGTCCTTTGGCTTCAAATTTTTGGTTATATTACTTACTATATATTTCTAATCTCTCTCAGCTGTAAATATGGGATCACTTGCCGATACAATCATCCTGATAGGAATGGTAATAGTTGTGTTTGCTTTTCTTTTTTCTTTAATTTCATCTATGCTTGAAGATTACATAGCAAGTGCTCAATACTGTGGAATTGCTTCACAGAATTGTTATCTCCCTACTCAGTTATCAATCCCACTGCTGCAATGGTAGGCCATACAGTTTTTCCTTCATTAGCAAACTTTAATGTGGGGCTTGTCAATCCAGCTGCCTCCATTTTCCAAAGTCTTCAACCTCGGCTGGCTCAAACAATGGTAATTTCATTGTGCTTCTTGCAACATAATCTCTGTTGCATATTGAACTAGCATGTTCTTACAACATTGCATGCTTTTCATCAGTATATATTTTCCCTGTGCTACTATACCTGTCTACTTATTTGCTTCCATTCCACAGCACACTCGTTAATGATTTTTTAAATCTTTCATCCTCCCTCTACTTCAGGTGCACCATCTTATGTGGGGAAAAGATAGGGCTTAAAGTCAAATTTTACGATCTGAACCTTTTATCATTGCGTATTACAAATGTTAGGTAAAATATGTGTCATTGGATCGGGGTAATATTGTCTATTTTACTAAACTAGAGAATTCTAACATCTTATTACCTGCCCCCCTGCCTCCCCACCTCTCCCCAAGGTAATAAATTCTAGGGTATAGAGGCCAAATGATCCCATGCCCTTCCCCACTCTCTAATCTAATTTCCGCCAAAAAAAAAACATTGGTTTATAAAGACTTGGTATTAGTAATCCCATTCCCAACCCATAATCCCACATACCAAATGCCCTGTAAGGGGATTCTAAGATATATACCTAGGTTCAGGGCATAGCGAGGTGCCATTTTAGATGCTAAGGAACCCAGGTTGCAGACCTGACCTTGGGGTACAGAGGCATGCAACTTAAGTCAATATTTAACGCTTCTTGGATCAGGCTTATTGACTAAAACAAAAGCCGCAAAAATTATGGGAAACATACAGAAAGAAAAGGGTTCATGGCTCTTAAAACTGAAAGTTCACTGTTTCGTTGGCTGTTTTTCTAAGAATGGCAGCAATAGTATAATTTCCTATTTATAACTACATATACATCACTTTCTTCAACCCCACCCCCCCACAACACACACACTGCAAAAAGATAAATAAATTATATATTCACAATTTGATATGTAGTGGTAGAATGTGTTTTGATTAAAGAATATAGTCCCTAAATTATATCTAAGCAAAACTCGGGTCCTCTTTCAATCAACCACTCAACCTGGAATTCATTAGAATATATCACTGTGTAACTGTTACACTCTCCATCCTCTAAATAAAAATGTTGTTCATTTTATTTTAGCTCTAAAAAGCTTGGCCAGTATATCATGGCTTTATACATTGGAATTCTATGATGTAATGATTGCTTTGAAGGCTATGTGAGTATATATGGAAGCAAGGATGAGAATTTAAAAGGAATGCAAGTGCTTGGTATTTCTGTTGACGGATCAACTTTAGACAGCCATATCTACATTCAAGGCTTGAAGATGAAATTTGGGTCCAAGAGCTTTCCGTCATTAAATCATAAGCCCATATCCAACCTTACACGAGTGAGATATAACTGTTTGAAGTTAATTGGTGAAATTGTTAATCAACTGTGAAAAGTTCAACTTTGCAAAATTTCAACTCCTGAGTGCAAAAATGTGGATGCTAATGCAGATGGTAGAAGAACCTGAAAATCTGCATCTCTTATGTTATGAATTAAAAGGTCATAGCCATTATTCTGTAATCTAAAAGCCCATATTAGACATTTCTTAAGTTAATCTACACTCTAGAGTAGAAGTAGTTGCCTTATAAATGGGAAAGAATCAACTTGTGATGATTGTTTCATGAATGCAATATTTTTAATGTTGCTAAAATGCATCTTTCCTGCTCAAAGTTATGCATATATTTATGCCATGTGATGTGTGCAGTTTATATTGTCATAATGGTAACCTATTTCACTTTCTTTTCTTGTTAGTGTTTCATTCCATTATTTAGTTACCAATGTGTCATATCCTGTCTTATTATTTTATTTTATTTTCTTATAATTCAGTATGGACAGGTTCCAATGATGTACCCTCAGCGGCCTGGCCAGATTGAATGTGATGTAAGTATTAAACAAACTCATATATTTCTTGTTACTTTTGCCTTTTGACCCATCTGTGGGGAGTGATAAAATCTATCTCAGAGCCTTCATAACTTGCTTTTTTCTTCTACCCTAGGGTTGTCAATTTTGCTAAAATTATTTCTTAAATCTGTTATTCCTGATGCTATCTGTTATATTGGTGTACAATATTCTGTTTGGGCCTATTTTAGGGTTGTTTCTGTTTCTATTTAAGGACTACTATATATAAGCTCCCTAGGTTTTAACCTAGCCTATTATGTAATTTGATTTCTTCCTCGAGATCAATAAACATCCTCTCGCTTGCGCTTGAACGTAGCTAGCTCATTTGTCAGTGAACCTTGTATATCCATGTGTTCTTATATGTTCTTCATTAATCTTTCTTGCACCTGCTACAACACAATCAATAGAAGATCCTTTACATCGATTTTGTTTAGACTGCATTGAAACTTGTTAAATTCCTTTTGAGGTCATCACTAGAGCTTTCTTCTTTTTGCTGATGGCGGTGCTAATCTGCCCTCCACCCCTTTCATCTTACTATACGGACTATGTTTAATGTAAATTTCCACTTTGGTTACAATAATTTCACTTTGGTGCCCTATGGATAAATAATTCCACTTTGGTGCCCCAAGCTTGTAAAAGATGTTTCACTATGGTTTTGGTTTGATGATTCTAAATTTCTAATTTGATGCCCTGGGGTTTATTCTTTTATTCACTTTGATACCCTGAAATATTCATTAATGCTCACTTTAGTAACAAAAAATTTCTTTAGTCTTATCTAATTATAAAGGAAAAAAATATTAATCAAATTAAGAAAAAACATTAAAAAAAAAAAAACTTTTAATTTTTATTTTTAATTTTTTTAATTTTTAATTTTTGGTTCTTTTTCAACTTTGGTGCCTTATAACTTGTATTATTGTTGAATTTTCAACATATGTTAGTTATATTCTATAGAAAAGGGGGCTGCCTCTTGTAGCCTATAAATGAAGATAAATTTCTCAAAAAATATACTTTATTTCTTTTATTAAACCATTTGGATTTTTACACTATTCACACTATATTGTTTGACCATATTTTGTGATTTATCCGTAAAGAAAAAACATAGTCATGTAAGATATCAACTTTTTATATTTTTTTTATTAAAGTGTAATTAAAGATATTAATTGTCAAAGCAATACCAATATATTGGCAAGCGTGAAATCACAAATGGTGCAAAAAAAAAAAAAAAAAAAACAAAACTGAAGTATATTTTTTTTTATTTTCTTAACCGAGAATTATTCTCTATTTAAAAAACTTCACATGCTTTCAATTCTTTTTTAAGTAAATAAAATTATGTTTTGTTCATATTATTATTTTACTCAAATTTTAATAGAGAATTAATATTACTAGTTCCTTACAACAAAATCTCTCTTTCCCTTGTCTATTACATAAGTGGATGTAATATTTTTTAAAAAAAAAACAAAAGATGTTTTGCTCATGGCTATTACATTGAGTGGGTGTAATTTAACTCTTAAAAAGGATGAACTAGTTATAAAATTGGAAGAAAAATAAATAATCCTACCTTTCACTGTTCCAAAACAGTCCCACCTATTGATTTTTCCAAAAAATCCCACCTTGGCCCCCCAATCTTCATCTGACAATCCATTACCTGTTGGTGACCGGTTTTCTTAGGTTTTTGCCACGTGTTAGCTTTTAATAGGTCTATTATTTTTTTAATAATTAAAAAACAAAAATAATTAAAAAAAATAAAGCCCCTAGCCCCACCCGTTTACGGCCTAAACGACCACCCCTGCTTCGCTAGCCCGATCTGAACAACCCACCACCTTCCCCTCCCCATCCCAATTCCCGCCAACCCAACCCTCCCTCAAAACCCTAGCAGCCACACCAAAACCCCAACAGACCCCCACCCCCCCGGAAATCGCCACAAACCACTCCTAAAACACCCAACCACAGTTTCCGGGGTGGCTAGGGGAATTTTTGAGGGTGGTTGTTCTGGTTTTCAGGGTAGGTGGGATTTTCAGCTTGCTTGAACTAATTTTCGGGATGGCTAGGGGATTATCGGGGGTGTTTGTTGTGTTTTTAAGGGTGGATGATTGGGTTTCTGGGTGGGTGGGGTTTTCGGTTTGCTTGAACAGTCATTCAGGGTGGCTAGGGGATTTTCGGGGGTGTTTGTGGTGTTTTGGGGGTGGCTAGTGGGGTTTCTGGGATGGGGTGGGGCTGTGGGCTGTTAGGGTGTTCAAGGGTTGCATCTCTGGGGGTGTGGTGGCAGTTCAGGTGCAAGGGGTTTTTGGGTTGCACCGTGGAAGCAAGGTGAGAGGAGAGTGATATATAGAAAAAAAAAAATGGTAACCAGTCAAATGGATCGTTAGAAGAAGATTGGGGGCAAAGGTAAGGATTGTTTTGGGAAAATCAATAGGTGGGATTGTTTTAGGAAGACCAATGAAAGTTGGGATTATTTATTTCCATTTTTCCTATAAAATTTCCCTTATTTAAAACCAAGTAACATTATAATATCTAGAAACTTTTATTGTAATGAAAATAAAAATACTTTTACTTTTATCTTTCATGTTTCTTTGGTAATTTTTACCGCAGGTTTATATTTGGTTTGGTCTAGGGTCTAATGATTTGTGGTTTGCAGCAGCTTCTGATTATGGTCCCTATTTTTTTTCCCTCTTCTATGCAGTTCTATATGAAAACTGGAGAATGTAAATTTGGAGAAAAGTGCAGGTTCCATCATCCTGTAGACAGATCTGCACCCACAAGAAACCAGACCCTGGAACAAAATGTTAAATTTACCCTCGCGGGTCTTCCGAGGAGAGAGGTATGCCTATGTATCTAATTATTGTTGAAAGGGAAACATCTTCACTGTGCCATGTTCTAGAGTTAAATTGTTGGTGTACGATATGTTGCCATGTTTCTGTTTTGCACATTTTTATTTTCAGAGGCATTGAATATAATAACTTGTCAATTTCTTTTGTTGTTTTGGCTTCTGGCATCAAATATTTTGTTGGATTGAAGTATTATTTGAAACCATTTCTGGACTCTTTACGTCTTTAGTCTTTGAATCCAATCTCCTTCATTCTCTTATTGGCCTTACAGCGGGCCAAAGAGCAAGGTTTGGAACCCCAATCCCCCCTTTGAAGGGAGAGGGGTGAACCTTCTGTCTGATTCAATCTCATCTATTGCTGCTTTTGAACCTTCATGTTTAGAAATTCCTGAACGAGAAAGCGGTATGTATGGTAGGCGTATGCGTGGAAAGTAGTCCTGAATGATATCATCAACTGCACCTAGTTATGTTTTCATTTGTGCTCCATGTGCAGATTTAAAGCTTCTTTTATAAAACATAAAAGAAACAAATCTCTCTTTCGGAAAATGTTTGTTGATTATCTTCCGCACTGAATTATTGGTTCAAATGTTTGCTAGTTGCTAAAGTATGTTGTAGTTTGTCCTTTGGCTGTATTCATTTCTGTAGAGCTTGTTCATAACATAATTAAATAAGTTGGTAATGAACTCATATGAACAAGTGTACCTCATTTGTGTTCATTAAAGGAGCTCAAACTTGTTCAAGCTTAGCAATACTCCCTTAGTCCCCTAGACAGTAATCTTAAGATTTTTTTTTTTTTGTGAAATATAATCTTAAGAATTTTATTTAATTAGAGTGTATCTATGTTAACACATGAAATATACATAATTTTATGTATGTTAAAAACAAATAGTGTTTGGGGTAAAAAACCCTATGCCACGTGGCCCAATATAAAGCTGACGTGTCAGCCCCAAAAGGGCCAAATGGGATCCAATCGGATGCTAACACGTGGCACTGTAACCCTAATAGGGGAGCAGATCTTCTTCTACTATAAATAGAGGAAAAAACTCCTCATTTATGGGACACATTCAGAAATACTCATAAATACAAACACAAAAACCGAGCAATATTAATTGCAGAATCTCTCTGAATCAGAGAGAAAACCCATTTACTTTCCGCACTTTTATACATCCGGAGACGTTCTAACTTGATCGTCGGAGGCGGAACTCCACCCAACCGGAGTTTCGTGGTTTTGCAGGTACAGGCGGTCAGCGCGCATTCCCAGAATTGTAACTCTCCCGGGGGATTCCAAAAACCCCAAACATTTGGCGCCGTCTGAGATGGCATCCGATTTTGTACCGCCTGGTGAGGGCAAGCGGCCTACGGCTAAGCCTGAGGTTCATACGGACCAGGATAGTGGTGACGACTATGAGGACAACACCTATGTGGCCCCAGACGGGTCATTTCGATCAAGGCGCACCCGTTCTAAAGAAACAAGGGAACGGGGCGAAGACAAAGCTGGTCCAGCAACCCAGCCGGCAAGCCTGCTGGGCAACCCCAGGCGACGGAGGGCACAACCCCCTTCACCAGAGACGAGCTCCAACAAGGGTCAGTCGGCCAAGAAGCCTTCTCCCTCCGGGAAGAAGCACATCAAAGACAGGGTGCCTACTCCTCACCCTAAACCAAAGGGGACGGATGGGACCTTGATCGACCTCTCCAAACTTCGTTTCCCTGAATTAGGGCAAAGGAAGGCTATCCGGCAAGTTCAGTCAGATGGGTCAAAAAAGACTTACTCTGATGCCCGGATGTTCATCCAGGAGAAGAGAAGTCAATAAATGTCTGAGTCGGCCTCAACGTCGACTACCCAGACAGTTTCCATAATACTTCAATGAAGTATTCGGAGACAAACCGAGAGGGTCAGTCACGTGGCATGTCCGCACGTACTGGCCCTCAGATCATCCAGTCGGCTCCGTATGTGCCCCAACATCTATACATGCCGTATGGTTCACCGTCTGGCGGCATAGCAGGTCCAGCCTATGGACTGGCAGCTCCGGCTGCTAAACCTTGGGGAACAGCCGTCGGCGTTCTCAAGGGAGATAACCAAGGCGGCTCAGCCGGCCAAGGTTAAAAATGTGTTGGTCGGTACCTACGACGGTACCACGAACCCGGAAGACCACTTAATGGCTTACACCAACCTCATGTAGCCGCCTGGTGCCCGATGCTTCCCAACAACATTGAAGGGCATAGCCCAACGATGATTTGGCAATCTGCCAGCCGGGTGCATCAACAATTTTAAGACGCTTGCATACCTGTTTGCGTCCAACTTCTCCATGAACATCCCTGCCAAAAAGACAAGTCTCGACCTAGGGGCTATTCAGCAGGGAGACAAGGAGGGACTACAGTCCTACGTCAGGTGGTTCAATCTGATGAGAATTTAGATCCAGGGGCTGTCTGACGAAGTTGCATACACAGACTTCTTCAAGGGTCTGAAGGACGGGTTGACCTTTAAGTTCGACCTGGTCCGCGAGAGAGTTGCTACCCTCCAAGAGGCGTTGATGGAAGCCGAAGCCTATATACAGGCGACGGAGCTCTGTGCCATCAAGCACTCCTCGGAACCTAGAAGGTCCGACAAGAAAGAGAGCCGGTCTGCTCAGCCGGCCAAAAAAGAAGAGAGCAAGAAAAGAAAAGAAGTCTGGGCGGCGGATCGCTCTGGTTAGCCGTCCCAGAAGAAACAGAGAAAGTTGGAGCCGTACGTCCCCAAGTACGAGTTCAACAAGGACTGCTCCTCCATCCTCATGGAGATCAAAGACCGGTTAACAATTGAAAAACCGGCAGCAATGAAGAGTTCCATCAAGAACCGGGACAAGAGCAAGTACTGTCAGTTCCATGAGGATGTTGGCCATGACACCAATGGTTGCTATAGCTTCAGGCGGCTATTGGACCGTCTGATGAAGGGGCTTTGAATTCATACATGGTGAAGTCCAAGGGTACTCCCAAAACTAACAATGGACAACCGTCGTAGAAGCCGGCTGTGAGCTCTGACACTGATGAAGAGCACATCATTACCATAGCAGGCGGCTTCGCGAGCGGTGGTCCTACCATCCGGGGTACCAAGGACAACATCCGAAAGCTGGACAACTCAGTGGATGAGGGCCAGGTGTCGAAAGATTTCGACACCTTCCCTGAGGTCTTCATCTCTGAGAAGGATCAGGGTATGGTCAGGCGACCTCATAATGACCAAATTGTCATCGAATGCAAGGTTGCCAACCAACGATGGACCGAATCCTCATCGATACCGGGAGCTCGTCTGACTTGATCAGCTATCAGTGCTTGGCAAAGCTCAAGTACAAGCCTAGCAATATGCACAAGGCTTCTCACCCCCTAGTCGGCTTTGGGGAAGGAGTAGTGCATCCGGTGGGGAGGATTGACCTACCCATCCGGCTAGGAGAGAAGGGGGAAGGACGGCACATGGTCGTCAAGTTCTTGGTGGTCGAGGAATTGACCGCCTACAATCTTATTCTGGGCCGTCCAACCCTCAACGAGTCCAAGGCAGTCATCATCCCATCCCTCATGCTGATCAAGTTTGAGAGGGATGATGGGTCAGTGGGTTCCCTGAACGGGTGAAGACGGCTAGGGAGTGTTACGCAGCCGGCCATGGCAAGGAGCCCATTAACCTTGATGACTTCAAGGAAGCCGCGCCTGCTCTTAAAGTAGCCGCCAAAAAGAGAAAAGCAGACCTGGTGGCCGTCAAAAAAGAGAAGCAATAGCAATCACTGATCGGGTGAGGAGTAGGCACCCTGTCCGGTGGTGATAATATTGATATTATTCTAGATGACAGCCGTCCGGAAAGAACCGTAAAAGTGGGGACGGTTGCTTTTGCAAAATGGGTGCCAGGCGTCAGCCCGGATCTTGCTGTCCACAAACTTGTCGTGGATCCAAAAAAGAAGCTGGTTAGGCAAAAGAAAAGGAACCACGGCGAGGAAAGATCTCAGGCGGCAGCCGCCGAGGTCAAGAAGCTACTGGATGCCAGGTTCATTCGGCAATGCTACGGATTGGGTAGCCAATGTTATTCTCGTGAAAAAGCCGAATGGTACTTGGCGGATGTGTGTTGACTACACAGATTTGAACAATGCATGCCCGAAGGATAGCTACCCACTTTCAAAGATCGACAATCTGGTCGACTCTACAGCCGGTCATGCCTTGATGAGCTTCATGGACGCCTACTCAGTCTTTCATCAGATACCCTTGTGGAAAAAAGATCAAGAAAAGGGCGGCATTCGTCACTGATCAAGGGTTATTCTGCTATACGGTGATGCCGTTTGGGTTGAAGAATGCGCCTGCTACCTTCCAACAGATGATTAATACGGTCTTCATTAATCAAATTGGAAGGAATGTAGAGGCGTACATTGATGACATGATAGTCAAATCCAAGCTCCAGACGGATCACCTTGCTAATCTCCGAGAAACCTTCACCACCCTTAGGCGGCACAAGGTCATGCTTAATCCCAAAAAGTGTATCTTTGGTGTTGAGTCTGAGAAGTTTCTCGGATTCTTGATTGATTAAAGGGGAATAGAGGCCAATCTGGAAAAAGTGCAGACGGTGATTGACATGAAGTCACCCGGCACTATCAGAGAAGTCCAAAAACTTAGCGGTTGCCTAGCGGCACTGGGGAGATTCCTCAGCCGGTCAAGTGACAAGTGCCTCTACTTCCAGGCAATCAAGAAGAAGACTAGATTTGAATGGGGGGAGATTGCTGACCCGACATTCCAAAAATTGAAGGAGCACCTTCACTCTTTGCCACGGCTGGTTAGCCCTCTAGCAGGAGAGGTTCGCTACATGTATCTAGCCGTCTCAGATCATGCCCTCAGTGCCGTTTTCCTAGCTGAGAGAGACGGCATACAGCTCCCGGTGTATTTCATTAGCCATGTTCTCCGGAATGCTGAGCTGCGGTACCCCTTGGTTGAAAAATTTGGCCTCGCTCTGTTCATGGCAGTCAAGAAGTTAAAGCCATACTTGG